CACGCCTCTTGGATATACTATCAACTTCTCGGGTCTATGTCCTTCAGTGGTAAATATATACGCTGTAGAATACAAATTTTGTAATTTTTCACACAAAAGTTAGGGTCCATTTGACCCGCTAAATATTGACCGATCTTTATCAAAACAGGCATGCTTATTCTTTGGCCCAATCCCCTTCTCCATGCAAAAATTCGAGGTGTTTGGGCCATAATTGCGGCCTCTGGAGCGACCAGAAAAACCGACAAAAATAAAGTTTTTGGTCCATTTCATCCCCTAAATATTAACCGATCATTTCCAAAAACAATAGGGATCTTCATTGGCCAGAACCCATCATACATGCAAAATTTCGTGAAGATTTCCATAACTGTGGCCTGTATCGTGTTTACAAATTATAATGGACAGACGGACGGACATAGATCGACTCAGCTAGTCGAAACGATTATACTTAAAAGTGGGTCTAGGGCCAATATTTCGCGGCGTTACAAACTTTTGGGGCTGCACAAAGCTATAATACCCTGACAACATAGTTGTGTAGGGTATAATAAATCTTATTCTTCCTAAAATAGAATTTAAGAGTCTGCATATAAATTTAATTTAATAAATTGTCATTAAAGTATAATAGTGCATAGGAAGTCTTTTAGTATTATCAATACAAATTATACTTTTATAAAAAATTAAATTACGTACAACATACAAGCTATCACAATTTGTTGACATTCCTTGACATCAGATATCCAAAAATTCAAAACAAATTTCTTGTTCATTGCAACTAATCCGTTTCAATGGTGTAGTTTTATTAGTTTTATGTTCCTATTCTTCTTTTGTTCGAATCAATCATTGATTGATTTCGGCTAATTTGGCATTAAGACTTTCACGGGTTTGTTTCCTAAGTCTTTTGTTTTATTGATTGACAACTATAGTACATACTGTGTATGAGTTAGAGGGAGAGAGATATGTTTATCTCCAATGAAAAAACACCAACGCGCCACTGTTACTATCACCTATTCATCGCTTAAGCCTCATGTAGCTTTAACCATTGTTTTCTTGCCTTAATTGAAGTACAACAGACGAAAAACGTTGTATCATACTGAACAATTTTTTGTGACACTTAATAATGTGTGTGTTGTTGTTTTTTAACATCATTAACATTTTTTGGTAGATTATTTTATGATTGACAAATTAACATTTTCTTTATATTAATGTTCTCGTGGATGTAATAAATTCTAAGAATCAAAAACTTTAATCTAAGAAATTCAAAATTGATTTTTTTGGTATAGGATTGTATTATATATATTATAGAGATGTATACTCTCACACATGATGTGGGATTTTGAAATATCCAATATTAAATATTTAGAGGAACTGTCAAAACGGGGACTATATCAGGCGTGTATTTATACCCTTCACCACAATGTGGTACAGGATATAATGTCTTTGTGAATATATTTGTAACAAGCAAAACGAAACGAGATAGAGAATATGCACAGAATCACTTTCTAAGTCGATTTATACATCCGTCCGTCCGTCCGCCTGTCTGTCCATGTTAAATTTTAAAAAAAGTACAGGTCGCATTTATGATTCGGCACGAAATTAGGCATAACGTAATGAATTAGGTCTTGAATGATGTGTGCTAAGTTTCGAGAAAATCGGTTTAGATTTAGATATAGCTCCCATATATATTTTCGTCCGATTTAATGTAAATGGTGCACCGAAGACCCTATATATTCTTCGATTTTCACGAAATTTGGCACAACGTACTGAATTAGACTTAGAATGATGTGTGCTAAGTTTTATGAAAATTGGTTCAGATTTAGATATAGCTCCCATATATATTTTCGTCCGATTTAAGGTAAATGGTGTACAAATGTCTCTAAATATCTTTCGATTTGCACGAAATTTGGCACAGTGTACTGAATAAAGCCTAGAATGATGTGTGCTGAGTTTCGTAAAAATCGATTCAGATTTAGATATAGCTCACATATATATTTTCGTCCGATATAATGTAAATGGTGCACCAAAGTCCCTAAATATCTTTCGATTTGCACGAAAATTGACACATCGAACTGAATTAGGCTTAGAGTGATGTGTGCTACGTTTCGTGAAAATCGGTTCAGATTTAGATATAGCTCCAATATATTTTTTCGTCTGATAGTCTTCGATTTGCACGAAATTTGACATAGCATACTGAATTGAGTATAGAATGATGTGTGCTATGTTTCGTGAAAATCGAAATGATGTGTGCTAAGTTTCGTGAAAATCGGTTCAGATTTAGATATAGCCCTATATATATTTCGTCCGATGTGCACCAAAGTCCGAATATATTTTACGATTTGCAGGACATTTGACATAGCGTCCTGAATTGAGTCTAGAATGATGTGTGCTAAGTTTCGTGAAAATCGGTTCAGATTTAGATATAGCTCCCATATATATTTTCATACGATTTTACATAAATGGTGCCCCTAACCTTAATGTTTGTCCGATTAACACGAAATTTCGCACAACGTATCAAATTGAGACTTGAATGACGTTATTGGGTTTTGTTGAAATTGGTGCAAATGCAGCCATAGCTTCCATATTATTTATGTATTTCGAACGGTTGTCTGATTGAAATTAATTTTTTTATGCTATAAATCGTTTTCCATAAATTTGTCCCATGCTACGCAGACGACTCTAAATCGGCATGAATGAAATTAAATTTATCATAGGTTGCAGAAGTACATGAGAAGTTTCCATCGAGGGAACATTGACATAAAATTGTAAGGATACGTAGGTATATACAATATACCCAAATTGGTGAAGGGTATCATATAGTCGGCCCAGTCCGACTTTACCACTTTCCTTACTGGTTTTTATCTAACATAAATAAGATTTTCAATGGGCTGGTAAATGAATACCAATGCATGTTAAGGTTTGTAACTTTACATATACAGAGTTAAAGATTTAAAAGAGAACAGAAATAATTTAATTTTCACTGGAACATCGGAATCCGAAAATTCCAACGGTGTTAGAAAGGGTACATATCTGACTCTCGTATGAACTAGGATTATTGGCTTCTCTCAAAAATCAACAAAATGGCGGACCTTTAAAAAAATATTTTTGAAAAATCGACTATTTTTTACCACAAATCCAAAGTTAAAAAATAAGGAAGATCTCGACCGATTGGATTTATCCTAGTTCATACGATAGCTATACGTCCCAAACGTCCCAAAATTTGGAATCGATCGGATTATTATTTTTTGAGTTATCGTGCCCGTCATTCGCATTCGAAAAAAATGCGTTTAAAGTTTGAGAATCACTCTTGCCATCACTTGATGCTGACACAATAAATCGACTATTTCTTGAAGAGTTCTTGAGATTTTCACTTGAAATTGTGTAGAGACATTCTTGAATTAGTGTAGATTCGAAAAAATAAATAAAAATTTTTGACACCGAGAATGGGGGGTCCCCTTAAATAATTTTAGTTGGGGACTATAATAGGCGTGGGTTTTTAAGTATTATTTGGGGACTAAAATAAGCGTGGATTTGTTAAATAATTTTTTCTTGAAGAGTTCTTGAGATTTTCACTTGAAATTTTGTAGGGACATTCTTGAATTAGTGTAGATTCGAAAAACTAAATAAAATTTTTTGACACCGAGAATGGGGGGTCCCCTTAAATAATTTTATTTGGGGACTATAATAGGCGTGGATTTTTAAATATTATTTGGGGACTACAATAGGCGTGGATTTGTTAAATAATTTTTTCGGGGACTATAACAGGAGTGGATTTATTAAATATTTTTTTCGGGGACTATAACAGGAGTGGATTTATTAAATAATTTTTTTGGGGACTACAATAGGCCTAGATTTGTTAAATAAATTTTTTCGCCGACTATTTATTAAATAATTCTTTTGGGGGACTATAACAGGCGTGTATTTATTAAATATATATATATATATATATTTTTTTTTTTTGGGCTACAATAGGCGTAAATTTGTTAAATAATTTTTTTCGGGGACTACAATAGGCTTGGATTTTTAAATAATTTTTTTGCGGGACTATAACAGACGTGGATTTGTTAAATATTTTTTTTTTGGGGACTACAATAGGCTTGGATTTTTAAATAGGTTTTTGGGCGACTACAATAGGCGTGGCTACTGGTTAGGGATTTTAGTCCAATTATAATTATTTTTAAGATATCCTATGGCCATCCATGTCCGACCACACTACTTTGCTACTTGTTTTACATTTGTTAAAGTCTGCAACAATGACATTATTTAAATTTATTTTTCTTTTGTAATACATATGAATTATCTTGTCGGCTATCGCAGGTGTTGGATATAAATATATATTCTAACATTTCAATTAGTTGTATCAACAAATAATATATTTCCGTTTAGTTTTTTCCCCATATTTGCACGTCTTACAATAATTATGATATTTAACTAAACAGAAAAAACCCACACACACATACGATACTCTTCTACTGACATAAGAGACGTCATTGTCATTATCATCATCATCACCACTCCATGCGGTTACTCTACGAAGTTATGAACTGATGTCACTAATAATGCATTTCCGATATGAATTAATATTGCCATATGTCTGATATATGTACTCACTATGGAGTAGTTGTTGTAGTTATTATTGTTTTAGTTGTTGTTTCTTTTGTTTCATTTAGTTTTATTGCAAAGCAATCAATATGAAACGTACCGATCATTTCCCATGGTAAATGATTGGTATTAATGATCATGAATTAACAATAAATCAATGTCAAAAATAGAATAGAACCTATTCGATCTGTTGGTTGGTTGGTCCCTCTGGCTTGTCTTGACTTGACTTGCTGTATGTCACTGTTGAAGTTGTTGGTTTTTTTTTTCATTCTAAATGGAAATGTCGACGGTTTTTTCTGCAGTGGTTTTTGTTGAGGAAATATTAATTGAGATATTTTAACCTTTAGTATGGAGAATGAAGTTGTTGCTGGGTTTTTTTAATATTTATTTTTTTTCTTTTCTTACAGATGCTGACTCGAATATTGCCCACAGGTGACAGTAGACCTCTAAATAGTAAAAGTAGTAGTACATCATCAAGCGATCTCATTGCGGGCAATGAGTTCTTGAAATTATTTATGGGTCAGGATGAACTTGAACGTGAATATCGGGCGAGAAACGTGGCAGATGTTGGCGATTATAAAGAAAGCGAAGAATTTGACAAAAAATCCGCCGAGACGGGGAGACAGCGTGAGGCCAGTAGTCGTTCTTTAAAAATCCAGGGACCCAAAATAAATCATGCCGAGGGTCAAGTGGAAAATAGCAAGGCAGCCAACTCAGGTAATAGTCGAATTTCATTTCTAGAGGATTATGATGAAAATGATGCCATACTCGATGCCGAGGCCAGAGATATTGATTTGAAAAAGGAAACAACAACAACAACAAAGGCCAAAAAAGATGACTACAAAATATTGTCGATAAGTGTCTATTCGTCAACATCGGCCCATGTGGGTTTACCCGCCGTCTCCACCTCTTCCTCTAGTCAACGAGGTTCAATGACAGGGAAAAATCGCTTGACCACAACAACATCAAAATATGACAACAAATCGTATACAACAACCCAACAGTCAGTCGTGACAATGACACCACGGCCACCAACAGCGACCACATATAGACCGGCAACAACAACCAGCACTACGACAACAACGCAAAAACCGAAAACAACAACAGCGAAAATTCCACAAAATTCTGCCGCAGCTTCATCAACGACAGGTGACAACTTCATCAATCGTTCGCATAAAAGCGAATTCTCTGTCGAGGAAGTTCAGCCTTCAACTGCCAGACACCATCAACAATTGCTGCAGCAGCAGCAACAACAGCACCGACCACGTAAAGTTGTGCGCAAAACATTTACGCGTCATCATCATCCACAACAACAACAGCAACACCACCATCACACCTCATATCCATTGATGACGAATGACGAACCCGCAGACAGTATGGAGGCTTTGGATTCGGAGAACAGTGCCTCAACAAATGTGGTTCAAAATGTCTTAGCTTCTCCGTCGCAGGGCTCCGGCACACCATTACGCTCGACATCGACAGTTACAACCATGTTCCACAGTGGTCAACATAACGTGTCCATTAATCACGCCATGTCTAAGTCACCACTACCACCATCGGCAGCAGCACATCAAACAAATGTCGACGATGTTGACATTTCCAAAGACCTAAATGATCAACAGCACTCGGCTACTGGTGTTGATGATCAATTGTTGCCATTTCAAACGGTAATTTATCATGACACCAAGAACGGTGGCGGCGGCAGCAGTCATGGTCCACAGTCACGTTCTATTTCGTATTCGTCCATTTCACAAAATGTCGAAGATCTAAAGAAATGGCATCAGTCGGACATCTTGGCCGAGGCTCGTCGTAATGTCAGCGAAAGTCTGAAACCCTTGCCACCGTTACATCAATCCGAACCGGCGAAATTTTATTCCCAACCTTCGAAAATGTATAGCGAACCATCGAAATTCTATTCAGAACCCTCAAAGGTCTATTCGGAACCGGCCAAAGTCTATGGTGAACCGGAGAAATTTTATTCAGAGCCGGCCAAAGTTTATGGTCAACCATCGAAATTTTATAGTGAACCTTCCAAGGTATATTCGGAACCAGCAAAAATGTATGGCGAACCGGCGAAAACATATTGGCCCATAACAGTTACCACCACGCCAAAGCCGGCACCGCTTAGTACCATTCCACCAATTGCCGCAACAAATTTACCACAATTAATCGCCACCACCACAACCCCATCTCCTCTTGGTCTTGGTTATCCAGCATCACGTAAGCCAGCAGCCATAGTTTCACGTATTGCCTTTGGTGAAGCCCAAACGAATACTGCATCCACATCGACGACCAGTACCACAACCACCACCTCGACAACTCCAGCTACAACCCACATACCCATAACCAGCACAATAAAATCATCATTTGGTGGTAGCTTCCATCAACGCACCTTTGGTCATCGTCAACCACCTACGGGCATTTCGGAGACCACAACTCCGCCACGTCGTATACTCTTCAATTTGGATCGTTTGCCATATGATTTGCTGAATGCACCACAACCTGCTGCCACACCACAGCCGGCACCGACACATTTGGAATTGCCGCAACAGCCGGCATTAACATACCAGCAACAGCAGCAACAACATCTACAAAGACAACAACAACAGCAGTCGCATCAGCAGCAACAACAACCCCAGCGTCATCATAACATTAATCCATGCTTGGAGTCGGCTGTTACTTCACTATTTTCATCAGCCACATTATCTGCTCATCCAGCATTAATAAAACAACGCCAACAACATTCATCATTGTCAGATCAACAACATTCTAATCAAAATGCCAAAGGATTGCCCAACGAAGGTAAGTAGCTGCACTGAAGCGAGTTTGGTTGCACATTGAGACACACAAGACAGACAGACAGACATGCACTTTGTATTGCAGCAGATAGTGTTTTCTTACCGGTATTTTCTTGAATTTCTTTTTCTGCATCTTCTTCTGTTGTTATTCTTCAAAGTAGATTTTTTGTTGCGGAAAAAAATAAAATAAGTATTTTCAGTATTTCAGTAATACCCTACTATTGTTCATTACATTGGGTTGAAGTAAATTAGAATTAAATAAAAATACTGTTGATTTCGGTCGGGCCGAAATTTGCACCACTTGCGTCCCATCTTCAGATCATGGATGAAATACATACCCTTGATATTGGATTTCCGATGCAGTCTCTTCAATTTTAGAGTCGGCTTCACCGTCCTGGATTTTCGTGACAGTTTCTTTTGACTTCGGTTTTGGCGTTAGGCTTCTCTTCCGGATACCTAATCCTCTTCGTCGCTTCCCAGGATCTCAGGCTTATCCTTCTGAGCATGAGTTTGCTGTTCGCACTTCTTCCTCCGGTTCATCGTGGATATTTTCCGCATTTATGCCCCAGATAACTGTTTCTTTCTTGTTGTGAGCTGCTATACGTTTGCTCACTTCTTCTATCATCTTATCAACCTCTTCGTTCCTCCGGTATTCTAAGACGGTTGCGATGAAAAAAAATTGAATTAAGATTCTGCATACCCTTCACGATACTGATATTTATGTGCTCAGACCTGGTTTGGTAAAAATATTACGATGTAAAATTTTTGAATCAAATGGATCTTGATATTGGACTTTCAATTGTTGTAACCCTCTTTCATAAACTTCGTATAGTCCTTCTTCCCTGCCTTTACAGAAGATTACGATGAAGGGCTTGTCTTTGATTTTAGAGTCTATGGATTCTCGTGACAATTTCTAACGACTTCGAGTTTGCTCCTCTCTTATATTAGCCGACCTGAAGTTTTTTTTTTTTTTTTTTTTTTGTTAATTTTTACTCGTTTGACGTTCGCCTGCTCTTCCGGATACCTTATGCTCTTCGCCGTTTCCGAGGAAGTGAGCGTTAGGCTTATCCTTCTGAGCACCAGTGCTGTTCGCACTCTTCCTTCGGTTAATCCTGGTCAGTTTTCGCCAATGCGGCTTTGGGATTCCAGGTTTTTAAAGCAGATTCCGATGCAGCGCTCGTCATCTTGATTTTAAAACCAGCATTGCTACCTTTAGTCGATGGGTTATTACATAACAGTCTCCTTTGACTTCCAGTTGGCTCTGCCTTCTCTTAATATGAGTCACCGGTAAGTTTTTTTTATTGTATTTCGGTCGTCTGTTCATCCGGAGTCCTAATGGTATTCGCCGCTTTCGAAATAGTGGAGGAAAGTACAAGCTTATTTTTCTGAACATTGGATTGCTGTTCGCGATTTTTCGTTGTCACTTTTCGCTTTTGTGTTCCAGATAACTTATTTTTTTTTGTGAGCTTGTCGATGTCCTCTTGGCTCATCCAGCAGTCTAAGACGGTTGTGTTTATTATTGTGTTCAGACTCGAAATTTGAGTTAGAGTTCCCGTCTGTCTTGAAAGGTTATGTCGAGATTGCTATTCCCCTGTGGTCCTTAAATTCAGATCCATTTTTGTTCGTTGGCTGCGTGCTTGTAACGATACCCCCGACTAGAAATGCCAAGACATCCCATCTATAGGAGATATTTGCCAACGATCGAAGGATGACGACGGGGGCATGATTCATGGGCAGATGAATGACTTCCGCCTGTACTGATTGGTACTAACTGATACCGCTCGTTTTCAAACAAATACCTGGTGGTATTTGACAGTATTCTGGTCGCGGGTTCCTTAGTGCGGAGAAAAACCTAGTGAGCATGATCAGAGCCAACGACGGGTTACCTTATGGCTTTTTAACATCAGGATCACTCGCACATCTCTCATCATAGACCTCGACGGCTCTTTTATTTAACACTTCGGCTTTCGGGGGTCCACTGCGGATCTATTTGTTAAAACTCTTCTTATTCAAGGCAATCGATGGCTCTTATATTGTCGAAATTTCACAATTGCAGACCGACGATAGCTTTTAACGTCCCCAATCAATCGCACTGTTATCGATGGCTTTAATCAATGTCATAGCCGAATTGACTTTGCACCCAATGACTTATTTTCATTTCAACATATCAAGATAAAAACAATAAAGTTGGAGAGCACATCAAATTTGTCATTCGGTTGGCAATACCTCGAAATACTCGGTCCACGTTTTGCCATCGACCCCGAAAGAAGGAACCACCCCATTTTAAATATTTAATATTTCTTTAATATGTCTTTCTAAGTACTTATTTTAGCTAAGTGGATGATTGATCTGCAGTAGTCTTTCCTATATTATGGGTATGCCATCTTGTATTGCATAGAAAACACGGCTTATTCGATTTTGTGGTGGTTGGAGTCCTTGCTTGTTTAGTGGTACCATTTTGCTTTAGGTTGCGCTATTTAATTTGTTCCCCTTGGGAGCATTATGTTACTCGTTTAGTTATTGTGTCAGCTTCCTTATTATATCTGTTATACCAGCTGAGTAGATGAATTGTCTGCAGTAGCCTGCCCTAACTGATTGGGTGCCATCTATTGTTGCATAGAAACAACGGATCATTGGATTTTATGCAGCGGTTGGTGTCCCTGTTTTTTTTATTTTTTTGCCATTTTCCTCTGGGTGGTGTTTCCTGTCATTTCGATTTTGTGTTATTCTCGTGCGCTGATATGGAAGATAGTTATTTTCTGATATAATTAGCTTAAGTATGGGATTTGTAGTTCTATGTCCCCTTAATATTAAGCGAGGTCCCGCTGTGTAAAAACATAGTTTAGGTATAACCATCCAACATAAATATTAATTTTGTTTTCTTTATCTCTGTCTCTTACAGATCTAGTCAGATGTGTTGCTGAAATATCAAATCCTGCCATTCCATCGACTGGAACAGCAGATGATACCCCCGGCCTATCGTACACTACCGAACGTAGTAACATTGAAGAGCTTTTTACGCCGACCCCAGAGCAAAATTACGAAATAGAAGAATCAGCAAGTGTAATGACAAATGGGCGAGCCCATGGCGTACAAGGTGGCAGCGGTGGTGGTGGTGGGGCTGGTAGGAATAGTTTAACACTACCAACACCACAACCTGGTGCGCATACATTCCAAACGAATAAGCAACGAATTCATATCGGTACCAATATTAATGCCGGTGTAGTGGGTGGTGTTGGTACAGATAGTGGTAACAGTGGTGTGGGTTATCAACATTCATCGTTTACTGGCCAAACAAATGCTAATGGAGATGCTGCCCTAAGTCATGCTCATAGAAATTTACACGGTGATGGCAATCCTAGTCCAGACTATAACGCATATGATGATGGTGGTGGTGGTGAAGGAGGAGGAGATACGGATGACTACACTGACACCGATGACACTGGTCATCATCGGGCACCAGGTTCAGCCAACGATGGTGATGGCAAAGTTGCTTATGTTGTAGAGGGACGCAATTATCGTAAATATCGTGTGGAAACCAAAACCGATGATGGTTACATTGTTGGAGAATACGGTGTGGTTCATCATGACGATGGAAATCTACGTGGTGTGCGTTATACAGCCGATATAAATAATACAAATCGAAGTCTTATACAAAAAGCTTTGTTGACATTTTTGAAACTGTAATGGAGGTTTTTTGATATACCGCATTACATTGTAATATATAATCGAGTTATGACCTAATAGTGGGAGGGTATGAAATTGAAAAAACATGGGTATTTTCAAAATAGGTCAACATTTTTTAGCCAAACGAAAACAAAAAAGTAACTGCAGTATGGTCAGTAATGTAGAATAAGAAATTTCGTCGGTAATACCGAATACAAAACTGTATGTCCCCAATGGCATACAAATGACAACGCCTCAGTTGGTGTATTTTTTAAAAATAAATATTTTTTATACTGAAACTATTGTGATGATTCCTATACAAAGTAACATACAAACAAACAAATAAACTACAACGAATTGATGTAAGGCATTGATGTGATTGTTCGGTCGTTCGTTGGTTGGTTGATTCAAAGATCATTCCTTACATTGTCTTAGAGTTAATTTTTTATGTATTTTTTTATAATTCATATATGTATGTAAATTGTTGTTGCCGATGTTGTTGCAATCTTCTTTCAGTTACTTAAATTTAAAGAAGAAGTAGAAGAAACTCAGCATCAAAGAAACCATAAGAAAAACCAACATTTCGTTTAAGAACAAACAAAAATTAGAAAGGTAATATATATGAACGTATGTATGTGATTCAATGTTTGTTATTATGTGTTTTTCGTATAGTAAAAATATTAATTTTACATAATTTTATGTATGTAGTATTACCTTTTTCCTTGTATTTCATATTTATACAAATAATCTTTTCGAAAAAAACAGACACTGTTTGGGTCATAAAATGAAGGGTGTAATAGCTTTGTCATTTTGCCTGTCGAAATAATCATCAGTTAAGTCAATGATAATGGAGGCCTTACGGCCATTATCATTCAAGTATTTATTATGCAAATTTAGGAACATTTGAGTACCGTTATATGTCCATAGGATTCATAAAACCCCTATACCCTTCTATTAAATCATGCCTGTAAAAAACGGCACAATCTCCAATTTTGATTAATATTGGATTAGAATTAAAGGGGACCTATATCTCGGTTTACAAAATCTAACCTACAATAGAATATCTCTTTAAAATTTCCAATGGCAATATTAAAAACCCTTAAAGATATAGTCGATCTATAATGTCAGCATCAGGCTGTAAAGCTAATGGATGTTACTCCAAAAACTATTAATTCAATTGATTCCAAATATATACACGTTATTCTTTGCGTATATATGCTATGTCAGTGCCAGTTTTGTAATGTATTGTTTAATAGCGGATCCGGCGAACTTCGTGTCTTCTCACTAGGCATTTTAAAATTTCCATAAATAATTCAAAATAAAAGTTGAGTCAAATCTATATTTTTTCACACCATTTATATACGGTCGAAATAGTTTATAATAACGGTCAAAGGTCTGGCGAAATTGATTACTATAAGCAATAGTCCATATCGTTATAACCGATATGCCTAGTTATATAGATAAGAGATACGTATTACCTGACAGGAACTTGCCGGGCGAATGTACATAGCTAAAACGTCTCAGAAAATTAACATGATCAAGAATATGTTTTTATATGCATTTTTTGTTATTATTTCAGAGAGCTACAGAGTGACTAGGTGGAGGATATAAACAAAGTGATATTGTTTGTAATTTATGCATAAAAGTGTTTTTAGATTTCACCCAAAACCCGGAATTCCATACTACAGCCTTTAGCTTAAATAATGCGCATAGGACAGTCTAAATATCTAAAATGATTCGAGACCTACTTATGGGGACTTATAGGGAGAAGTACGTTTTTAACAACAAATAATCTAGAATGGCAAATTACAGCCACTTAGATTGGGAAATGTCAAAATGTGGGCGGGCTTCAATATGGGGCTAGATCTAACTTTGATTAAAAATTGTCTGAATGTAATTGTTTCATCCCCAAATAGCCAGGATTGATATAGGACCATCAAAATATCTGATATTGTTTGTAATTTTTGCATAAAAGTGTTGTTAGATTTCTGCATGTATGTTTTTTCGTCCAAAACCCGGAATTCCAGTCAAAATATCTCAAAGGATTCGAGACCTATTTTTGGGAATTTTCGGAGAAGTATGTTTTAACCAAAAAATAATCTAGAATGGTAAATTATAGCCACTTTGATTGGGAAATGTCAAAATGTGGGCAAGCATCAATATGGGACTCGATCTAACTTTTAATAAAAATTGTATGAATGTAATTGTTTCATCCCCAAATAGCCAAGAATGAGCATAGGACCACCAAAATATCTAATGTGGGTTAGGTCATAATATCAAATATGTCTGCAAATATAAAACAGGATTGGCAAACCACTTCGGTTGGCAAATGCGTCTAAAACATTCTACATATAAAACCAATGAGCGGAGCCGTATATTCTGCGGATCAATATTCCGAGCCTGAGTAATATTTCGAAATATTTGCACTCTCTTGGCCAATTAGAGGTCAAAGCTCCTCTTCAGCGTCTTTTCCGAATCATTTTTTCCTGGAGTAAGCAATTACTGTATAACATTGAAATTTAGAGGTTGATAGAATCCTCTAAAATTATAGGCGTTGTCCTTGACCATAACAGAAATCTATTGCAAAATTTCCTATCCATCTATATTTCCGTAATTTTTCACACAAAGGTCGAGTTTCATTTGGCAACAGTCATGTTTATTCTTTGGCAAGATCCCCTTCTCTATGTAACACTTCGTGATGTTCCGGTCATAATTGCGAGCCTTGGAGCGACCAGAAAAACAGACAAAAGTGAACCGATTATTACCAAAAACAATAGGGGTCTTCTTTGGTATATTAATTTGTGGGTCTAGGATCAATATTTCTCGGCGTTACATTCTTGGGGCCACACAAAGCTATAATGACCAAAATGAGATATTTGTGTAGGGTGTAGATATGACAATATTGTTATATGGAGCTATTCCATGTTGTGGCATTTGCAATTACAAGCATCCTGATGGTAGTAGCAACGTGCGTGAAACATTTCATATCTCTACCTTAACCCGAATAGGACTGTAATTATTTTTTTCGAATTGTGGGACGAAACTTTCAGCGTCTCTAGATTGTGGGCCACTGAATTCAAAAATTTGATTTGTATAATTTTTTCGTATCAGGATAATCGACAGGATCAATTTTTGGGCTGTGGCCGTATGTTCACATCAGCACTGCTCAGGTACAGGGTTTTTAGATGATTTGATTTAAATGATTTGAGATGATCGTATTATGGTCACGCTAGCACAGCTCGGGTTAAATATAGCAAGCTCTATCGTTATTATAACAGACGGAAATCGATATATCAATTTATACTGATTCAGAATATTTTTATTTTGTGAGGTCTCTGGTGATTATTTAGAGGAATTGGAAACGGAATGACAAATTTAATATACGCTCCGCTTTATGATGGATGGTATAATTCATATTTCAATGATTTCCTAGGGTTTGTAAATGGACATAAATTTGTTTGAAGAGAAAAACAATTTAATAACATTTTTAATATAAAATCTATAAAATAAATTTTAACTATCTTGGGTCGAGGTTAGTGTTGTGTGCCACTTAATTTGAACCCAAAACATGTGTAAAATTGTATTGCTACTCTGAATACCGAAAAAAGGTTGTATGGTGGCTATATCTAAAACTGAACCTATAGCAACAATTCTTACCCACTAAGGACTGTAAATACTAAATTACAGCAAAATCGGATAGAATATGTGACTAAAACATTCAAAGTACTGACAAACCCAAGAACAAATTTACATTAGATAAATGCCTAATGTTGATCAACATAGCTAATTTTCCATTCTTGATTTTGGGAAGTATATCTTTCTATTATATATTTTCATTGACATTTAGGATATCACCCATATAACGTTTTCTCTGTAATTTCGTTTTCCATACCCTTTATTCTTTTTGCAACATTTTAGACATGTTTCTCAACCGCTTTGGCTCTAATAAAATATTTAGAATTTGTAGATCTATATACCAATAATAAGGGATATCAGTCGATCTTTGGATATATCCTATATTTTACCATGACATTGGTGGGCAAGCAACTTATTCATGAATTGATTTTGAATGCAAGTCTATGTTTCTACATAGTCCCAACTTATTTACATTTTTAATCAAAATTTTATTGGAACCATTTTATCTAATTTGCAAATATGTTTCGCATATTAAATAAAATTATTCGAATAACATTTCATATCTTCAAAAATTTGTGTATAAAAAAAACATGTTAATAACAATGGAAAAATAAAAATTATTTTCATAACATAAATTAAATATAATACCTAAACAGTGTCTCTTCAATTTCCATATAGAAACAAACGAACAAATTTTACATTCACAATAACAATATGTATCTATATATGTCTAGCTTAACATTCTAGCCTAAATTTGCACCAATATTAGCATAAATTTCACCCTATATTTACTAGTACTACTATATATCTAGTTTTGTATGTACAATAAAAAACAAATATTTGAAAACTTCATAACTACACATATAAATGTCATTGAAAACGACAACAAATAACAAAAAGCCAATCTCAATAAAATTGAGTGGGTTTTCTTAAATTAATTTATTATATTTTTATATAATGTTGAAATAATGTATGTAATGTCTTTAATTATTATTTATTTAAATTTAGTGTGTATTAGTATAATGTAAATGTTATCATATGAAATACTTACTGCCTAATGAATGATATCGTCATTGTAAAATTTAAATACGCTTTCATATAGAAGAAAAACAATCATAAATGGGCGGCTCAAAAATACAAGTTGCAGCTCCTAATACTACAAACAACAACAAAAACTACTTACATAATTACTTACTTGCCATACATATTTAAGTAAATGTACTACAGTTTAGTAGATAAAGGCAAACAAAAACAATTAAAATAATAAAAATATGAAAAATTAATTAAAATAAAAACAAATTTATAATAATAATAAATATGCAACATAAAAAGTAAATGTTCTTTTATTTATTTTGTACTATTTGAAGCATCACATTCCTTCGATG